GTTTATTTTCTCATGTTATAACATTCTTTTCTTATCATTTTTATAACCATATGTTATATGGTTGTATCATTTGCTTAACTATCACCCACTTTTGAATTTTGGATTTTGTATTATCCTAATTATACTGCGGGGTGATTATTTCCTCGTGATAGATTCCCCCGAAGAAGAATTATGTGTCAGAGAAGTTACGAATATTTCTAAAATTTTTGATACATTTTTAAAGAGTTGCTTTACATGTGTATCTTTTGGCATAACAATTTCATCATCAAAAATGGGGACACTGGTGAATATTTCTAAAATTTTTGATACGTTCAAAAAGAGTTGCTTTACATTTGTATCTTTTGGCATAACCATTTTCAGCATCAAAAATTGGGATACTGATCCGAGAAACGGGACAGATGTATTTACGAAGTTTTGGAGCAGAATATTTAAAATTATCTATTCAAATAAATCTATTTCTTCTGGTTACCATATTTACAGATAATACATTATGGTTACATTTTGGAGGAAACTTTCAGAAGGATTTAGGAGATATTAAGTACATGAATCCAGGCAAAGATCTTGAGTGTATTTAGATGTCTTTGACCAGACATCTTACTTCAAGAACTATCAATAATGTGACCTAATCAAATGGCCTTCAAAAAGTAATTTTAGGTAATCTGGAGTACTATCAGATCTGTTTTTAAACCAAAAATTGCTCTATAATGTAAGTGGGTCCAGGAAAACTTTATAACCTATAGTGCCATATCAATATTATTTTCTCTTAAGTCTTTGGTGTATTTTGCTTGGTTCAAAACATTTTGGTAGACTCTGCTAGCAAATTTTGGTCTTCCTAATAGGCAGCAGAAATAGGACCACTAAGAACAGGAGCTCAATAAATACTAATTGAATACCACTGAGTGTTTAAAATTAGACATGGTCGAAGGGCCTAAGGCAGTAATGTTTCTTAACAAGTAAATATTAAGTGAAAAACAACCAACTGAGAATCGCCGTTACTAATCTATGTTTCCAACACAGATTTCTGAGAAAAACAAAAAAGATGGAGACAGTGGGACGAGTGCTTCAGTAAGTAAAGGTGAGAGCCAGTACATATTTGGTATTGGGCTGTGATGAGAGAAATACGTGCTCAGTGTGAAAAGCAGACAACAGCGTTGAACAGTATAGAGTGTTATAGGGCCTCTCCACACTGGCGGAGGCCTGTTAGGCAAGCTCCTTGGTTGCTATGAGTCAGAATCGACTTGAAGGCATCTAACAACACACAGCAGTGCATAAGATCAGTTTAGCTGCACTGGCAGAGCTGCTAGAGGACATGACTGACTGGTAAGCAGAGCTCAGCATTCTCCCATCATAAATTCTTCCCACTCCTTTATCGCTAGTGTTACTACAGGGTTAAGAGCTACGTACGAAAACCTTTTTTTCGATAACCTATAAGCTAAACAGTTGTTTAGTTTAAAGATGATTTCAGGGGATAATTTCTGCTCATGGTTTGAAAGATTTTCTCAGAGTGATAGATTCAGGGGTTCCTTCAGTCTCAATGATCCAGTAAGTCTAGATTCTGTAAGAATTTAAAATTCTGTTCCTTTTCCACCTTTTGATCGGGATTCATCTACTGATTCCGTGATCAAAACGTTCAGTAATAGTAGCTGGGCACTATCTAGTTCTTCTGGTCTCACGAGTAACAACTGTTTAGTTAAATTAATAAAGAATTTAAAAGAATTATCCACGTGAGATCAAATTGTCAACAGCAACTCTAAAGCATAGATGAGAAGTTTTGGGGGTAGTGTCAGTCAATGGTGGTGAAACAGTATGGGTAGAGATAGCAAGAATGGTGACGCAACGTGAAGAAAGTAACCAATGCTATTGAATTGTACATGTAGAAATTGATGAATGGGTATGTGTTCTGTGTTTATTTTCACCAAAATTAAAATAAAACAAAATAAATCCACCCCCATCTCCAAAAAAAAAATAACCTTTAATAGGTGCTGTGCTGGTAAATGTTTACCAACTGGCTCTCTGAAAATGTGTGTGTGTGTATACATATGCTTACTAAAATTTTTACTGACATAAAGAATATATAGCAAAAAACTTACAAATAATAAAATATGTAATACTCTTTATGTGGTGAGTTCCACATAGCCATTTGAATCTCACAAAAGGCTTCCTTGATTTTTGCCAGACACTTGCACCCCTAGCCAACCTATGGCTGTAATTAATGAACAAGTGTAGTTCCAACGTGAATGTTACTTCCCTTTAAGTTAAGGAGTAAGATAGAAGTGAAACAGGAAGATGTATATGGGAACTTGATTCAGTTGTCAATGATGTGAGTGACTTTGCTGAATTGGAAAAGAGTTTTAGAATATTATTCTTGTTAGGTGCCGTCGAGTTGGTTCCAACTCATAGCGACTCTATGAACAACAGAACAAAATGCTACCTGATCCTGTGCCATCCTCACAATGGTTGCTACGTTTGAGTCCATTGTTGCAGCCACTGCGTCAGTCCATCTCATTGAGTTTTGAATACTGGTGGAATATTTTCTCTTTTGTTGTGTGTATGCTATTCACATGTAGTGGCTACAGGCATGACACGTTTAAATGTCATCTGCATTAGTAACATGTTCTCCTTCACTTTCTTAAGCCTAGACAATCAACAAAATCATACATCAAGCCCCAGTTTTGAGTGCTTGTTGATTTTTATGGTGTAAGTATTCCCACCAAGGCAGATTTCAAGCTACTAACATGATGTTTCTGGACATGGAGTTGGGAAAACATGTGCAGTAGCACACCATTGCATAGTATTTCCTCCAACCAGAGACAACAGACAGAAATAACTTCAAGAGCATAAGTCATAATAAAATGTAGTAAAAATTAGGAAGTGATGGGTTTTGAGTATATTAACTTTATTTTTAATAAATTGATTTAATTGTAAGTTTGTACAATTTAATTTTTAATAATGACAGTTTAACAACTGTCTCACAGAATTCCTGAAACTTTAACAATCAGCTCTTGTGAGCTGGTTCAAGCCAGCTCCAGCACACCACTGCATAGAGAATGATCGTTTTTAGTTTCCTGCCACCTAAATCACATTCGTATTACACTTGAAGCCTCAAAACTTCAGGGCAAAAGAAAAAA